ACAAAAAATCTTGAACAATATCTTGAAGAACGACACCAAAAAATAATTAGAGTAGAAGGATTACCAAATGAAATATCCGAATCACTAGCTCTAATAAACAAAAACAAAAGAAAAATATGCATTTGCACGACAAATGTGCATACTTCAAGAATACCAGAAAAAATGGTATCAGCTAAAACTCATAACAGAAATTGACAAATCAACTTATATCCTTATGGATCGAACATTCATAGATACTATCATCTTTGAAAATATCTATATTGAAAATCCCGAAGAAAGAAAAATTCTGGAAAATATTCGACAACAACTAAAAGAAGCATTACTCTCAAGCAAACCACTAGTAATTTATTGTAAACCAAAACTTGAAAAATTACTAGAACGGCATCTTAAAAGAAAGAAAGAGCAAAACCTAACCAAGGACAATGTCAATACAAAATACCTTGAAGAGATATATTTCTCCTACGAAAGAAATATTTTGGAAGCATATCCGACCCACATTGAAATCAATAATAATTACGAAAACCTGAACGATATGGTTAGAACCATAATTTCGGAGAAACCAACTATCAGAAATTACAAACAATTGGAGGAAGTTGACCAATTACCAAAAGAAATAAATGTAAAAGAACATAGACGATATACTGTAATAATACCATATATTATTGAAAAAATAGGAAAAGGCGATATAATGGGACCAAAAATCCTTGCTGCACAAAGGACAGACCAATGCAAAATATACCCGAACCAATGGTCATATTTTGGAGGAAAAGTAGAACCCAATGAAACATATTTTGAAGGGATTATACGGGAAGCACAGGAAGAACTAAATTTAAAAATAGATCATTTACGGATGCAACTTATCATGATACACAACTATCATTCGCATAATCAAAGTGGAACAAAACCATTATACTATCATGAGGTCGAAACTGTACTTGAAACAAATAGAGTAACCATACCAATTTGGTTATATCATTTAACTGATAGGGAAAAGAATTCTATCAGGAACAAAGAACCAAGTATCCAAACAAATTTTAGATATTTATCACAAAAAGAAGTGCAACACTTATGCTTCACGCTGACAATCCATATGAATAAACAAAAACTATTCGAATTACTAATACCATACTACGAAAATGAGTACATTACTAAAAAAGGAAAGATAACTTATGATCCACACAGATTAGATCAAAAAAGGGAATACGCCAAAGAAAAACCCTTATGTCAAATACAAAATAGAAGTGTGACAAAAACGCCAAAACCTCTAAAACAATAGAAACACCTGTACAAGTAAAACTAAACTTCACCGCCAAGGGCTCAGATGCAGCTCAGCGTGTACCGGCACTCTGGGAAATCCACCGGCGATCTATGCCGTGCGACAAACAAGGATATCACGCCTTAATCAAAAAGATTATCAACAATCCGATTACCAAATCAGGGCATATTATACCTTATTTATCAATTATTAATTATTTAACGATTATTTATTATTTAACAATCTGTATTACTTATCATCAAATTATTAGTCATAGCTTATTAGCAAAATAGCCTTCTCAAATGTATAAATACCACTAGTTTTTACCTTTCTTAACTTTAGAATTTTTGCCCGGATTCTCAAAAACACGATAAAAACTACAAAGCATAAAGCTTACCTTTCTTAACTTTAG